GTACTAAATTGTTACATAACACAACATTGGCTACAGACATTATGTTTTATCTCAACAAAATCAGTCATTTTGTCTTCAGACAGGCCAGCTGGAGCTGTTTGATCATTTGTAGGAAGCGCTTTGTAATAATTACTGAAAAGCATGTTGATTCCTCATGTTTTGGTCCCACGGCTTCTCTTTGTGGGAGCCAAATGAGTGGCCTCCAACCCATTCATGCTTTCCCTTTCTCTCTCTCTCTCTCTCTCTCTCTCTCTCTCTCTCTCTCTCTCTCACTGTCTGTCTGGGTCTGTCTGTTGCACATCCTTTTTCAGTTGGTTTTTAAAGAAGCACATGCCTTAAATGTAAATGCACTTATTTGTAAATTCCTTCCACATTATTTAAAACAAATAGCACAGACCAACTCTGTGGAGATAAAATTACGTTTCTTTTTGTCAGCGGATTCCATATGCAAACTAAACCATCAATGAATGCATGGTTATTGTTTTGCTTGTGTCCAAAGCCTGATATATTGTCTTAATTAGTGCGACAGAGCCCCATTGATGTCCCAAAATATTTAAACACCAGTGAGCCTCACTGGGTCACATGTTCCTTCACTGCTATGAACTACTGCTATTTTTCTTAACTCACACCATCCTGCTACCACAAATACAAAAGGCAACAAATGTGGATTCTTCCACTGCTCAAAATAGTTTCTGACAAATGCACAGTCCTCCTTTTCAATAAATGTTTTCCCATCTGTTTAAGAAAAATACACAGTACTTCAGAAATTATTGAGAGAAGTAATACCATACACAAGATTCAGCTAAATGAAAACATAGAATATCGCCAGCCTCTTTAGGCTGATGTAACACAGCTCCATCTCATTGCAGATCTTAGGCAACCTCATTAATATGGAATAGATAATGGGACACCATCTGAAGCTCAGTAATACTTAAATCCTGTTTATCCTAGTCAGTGCTTTTGATTAGCACGTTATCAGTGTTGCAGATCAGTTCGACCGTTCTCTCTCCATCTTGTAGAGTGGCACAATTGATCAAATATTAATCAAGATCACTATTTAGGCTTACTATAATTAAATTAACACAGTATTGACATTCAAAATTCAATTTAAATTCAGTTAATGTTATTTTCTTTCGCCCAAAATCACAAATTACAGATTTGCCTCACAGGGCTTTACAGTCTATACACATGTGACATTCTCTGTCTCCCGAAACCCTCACATCAGCAGATATGGATGCTTGCCGGACGATCCGACCGGCAAGCGGTACAGCCGACGATACGGATCGCTTGTCCGCACTTTCTCCTACGTGCTGATTTACGAGCCCCGGAGACTGATTAGCCCTGTTTGACATGCTAGCTAACGTTAGCTAAAATGAGCTTGTGTTCGCTTAAACAGCGGTTAGATTTTTGTAGTATGCAGTTTGGGACTACAAACACAAAAATGTGTTAGACTTGGGCCTAACACATTCAGCTAGTTGGAACAGAACACACCAGAATAGGCCTGTTTATTAAACAGGATTTGATTCCTGCATTCCAACACTACGTTTTGAAAGTATCCTTTCCAATACTGATCCTACTCTCTAAGCCCACCTGCTCTGCACATGTCCAACACCTTGGGGGGGCCCTGGAACTGCCAATCTGCTATACTTCATTGTCTGCTTTGCTGTTGTTAGGGTTTCGGAAAGCTCTCGAGGGAGGCCTCACTCCTTTGTTCTCGTCCCGGCCGGAAACGAGGATACGAATGAGTCAATTTGTTTAAATTCAAAAATCAAAAAGTATTTAATGACTAAACAACGTAATAGGGATTACAATTACAAAGTGAAATACAAAGCGAACAGTAAAATATTTCGCGAAATAGAGAATCCTCTGAGCAAGTCTAAAGCGACTTATCAAAGCGGCTGCAGGAAAATTCTAACAGTCCTTTTCCCGCTTTGGTCCTTTGAAAACTCTTGAGGTGTGTCTTCTTGGGTGCATTTGAATGTCATTGGCTTCTTCTTCAAAGGGTCACCTCCCGGACTGTCCCCTTCACGTCGAGGTGTGAAGCTGCAGCTGTAACCTGAAACCTCACTGTACTATCTGTCCCTCACATTCCGATGCATTCAATGTAGATACAGTTGGCTTTATGCCTCAATGAGTGAATTTAACAAAGCATACATCGTTTAAGTCTTCATCTTATAACTAGTACACTTTAATTACAACAACCCATCATTAATGATCCCCGTTCATCACACTTCATCATAAGATCTAAGACAGTTCATGTGGTTCAATTCTCAAGACATTTGCCCCAGTTGGCTGCCTCGCATTAAGTTGTTCATTTACTACCTGACAGGAGAAAAAACTCCCAAAAAAACCCTCTTTGGGGATAAACTTGGGAGAAATCCATAAAGGACGGCAATTAGCATCCGTCCGCAGGTTTTAACATCACATTGTGACAGAATGTTAATGTGTACAGTGTTTATATGATTTAAATGACTATAAATTGTGTTTGATTCAAATTGTATTCACTTCATCTAACATGTTAATGTAATAACTAATGTCTAATAACACACAAACTATAATTCTAACACTAAACATTATTACACGTACTATAATTTCCTGACTAGGGGTGCACTTCTGGCTTAAATCCCTAACACTGTCCAGCATTTGCTTGACGTCCTAGCTCTCACTGAAATCTGGATCAAAATCTGGATCAAACCGACAAAGCATCCACTCCTGCTGCTCTTTCTTCTGCCTTCTCTTTCAGCCACAAAGCTAGACCCACAGGTAAGGGTAGTGGTACTGGTTTATATTCTCAACCAAATAGTTTTTCTCTCTATCCGCTTCCACTTTTTACTCAAATGTCTTTTGAGTTTCACGCTGTGACAGTCACACGGTACAACTCACCGTTGTTGATCTCCGTTTACCAGGTTCTCTGAAATAACTACACGTCCTGCTATCAAACTTCCCTGAAAATGTCCCTCCCGTCATTCGTCATGTGACCTACAGCTCTTACTTTCTTCCTTTGCGGTCTCACTCTCGTCCTTCCTCTTCTACTAACAGAGCCGGCAACCACCTTGACCATATCTTCACAAGAAACCGCTCTACAGCTAACATCACTGTAACTCCATTTTATGTCTCTGACCACTTTGTTATCTCTTACTCTCTCCCCCACTCTCTATCTGACATCCGTACTACATTAGATAAGGTATTCCTTTTAGTCCCACAATGGGGGATTATAACAGGATCGCGACAGCAAAGTGGACAATGCACACAAGATACATGGTAAAAAAAACAAGAGCAACAGTAATAATAAGATAATAATAATGACAAAAATTAAAATAAATTAAAAAACAAGTGCAAAGGCCACAGTAGCTAAATGTACTAAGTACCAACTAAATATATGTATATGTACACATACCATAGTGGTTGTTGCACATTGTTAGTGTTAGTTCTTTGGTGGTGGTTTCAGAGATTTAATGTCAACTGACTATGTACCTGTACCTGTACCAGTGCTGATAAAGGGCTTCCTAGTCCAGGTATAGACGTACGGTGTGTATTTTTAGCTATATGGGCTTTTTGCTGTCCTGATGTCATTGGGGAGCGCATTAAACCATTTAGGAGCCAGGACAGTAGAGAGTCGGGATGTCGTTGAGTGTTTGACTCTCTGTGAGGGAGCAACAAACAGATTGATGCAGAGCGGAGTGAGCATGCAGAGACATAAAGTTTGACAATGTTCTGGATGTACAGTGGGTACGGAAAGTATTCAGACCCCGTTCATTGCAGCAGTTTGCTAAAATCAAAAGTTAATTTTATTTCTCATTAATGTACCCTCAGCACCCAGTCTTGACAGAAATGTATTTTAAAAAAGTGATATCACATACAGTGCAAGTATTCACAGCGCTTCACTTTTTCCACATTTTGTTATGTTGTGGTTGTTGCACATTGTTAGTGTTAGTTCTTTGGTGGTGGTTTCAGAGATTTAATGTCAACTGACTATGTACCTGTCCGTCGTAATATTCACTCCCTCCTCTCTGGTCTCCTCTGTCTTATCAGTCCTCCCTTTAACTGACTCCTTCCCACTCATGCCTCCCAACTCTGGCACAGACGCTCTTCCAGTATATACAGTGCATCCGGAAAGTATTCACAGCGCTTCACTTTTTCCACATTTTGTTATGTTACAGCCTTATTCTAAAATGGATTAAATTCATTATTTTCCGCAACATTCTACACACAACAACCCATAATGACAAAGTGAAAACTGTTTTTTGCAAATTTTTGAAAATCTGTTAAAAATAAAGAACAAACATAACATGTACCGTATTTTCCGCACTATAAGGCGCACTTAAAAGCCTTTCATTTTCTCAAAAAACGGCAGTGTGCCTTATAATCCGAGGTGCTCAAGGCGCTCTGCCAAAGATGCTCAGGCGCATGAGATATGGAGCTTGTTTCAGGGCACGTCGAAGAAACAAAGCTGTCGTTCTTGCCGAGCACTTAATGAGATTAAAGAGCGAGAGACGGTGCCCTTTTCTTTACAGTAGCTGAACCATCTTAAGGGGTAAAATAAATTTATTCTAAAAGGGGCCCTTGGCAGGCGGCGTGGCTGGAGAACCGCCGAAGATTTAAGGCGAGGGGGGCGGCCGCACCTCGCAGCATCGATTGGACCCTGAAAGCACAGTCTCCACCTTCCCACATCCCCCCCATCCACCCGCCCCGACGTCAAACGTTTGACTGCAGTATGCTATGCGCCTTATAATCCGGTGCGCCCTATAGACAAGTTTCCCGGGCACTTCCGGTTTACTTCCTGTTTCTGCCAAGAACATCCGGCGCAGGCTGAGTAGTGGTGTAAAAATGGCTTTGGAATGGCAACATTCGACCGAAAATCTTGTTAAAAATGGTGTTTTGACCATTCCGCATCCAAGTATGGTAACATCATGGGCGGACAACATGTCGATATGGCCCAGCATCACAACATCCAAGATCTTTTCTTATTTTATTGATTCCGTGGCAGTGGATGGGAATGCAATTAATAACCTGAAAAGCTCAGAGGCGTTTCAGTACCTCCATTCCGACAAAGTGGGCTGTGTACTTTTACACGATATGGGCAGTTTAATTTACCTAAAAGCCGATGTTCAACCAAGCCAGTCCGTTAACAATTCAGCGCATAACGCCTGGGTTTTGGTTACCAAGACGAGAGATGTGGAGACTGCAGGCTGTACCTGTATCGCCGGACCTGGACGTTGCTGTAGCCATGCAGCCGCCGTGCTTTGGAAGGTACGTTAGCCCATCTTATGCTTGTATTAAGATGTTTGTATGTATCCGTGTGTTAATATATAACAGAACACGAAGAGTAATAAAAAGTGAAAGTAATCCCCTCTAGCCTGCCAGCACTAAAAGCATGCTTTAACCCTTCAAAGTCGACTGACGAGCGTCAAAGTGCGCACCCCTGACATATCTATTAATAGCTTCGGAATGGATAAAGGTATTAACTTACTTTTTTTTCTATGAAAAAGCTAACATTCGTCTGCGTAATAATTAGTAGACTGTGATGACTTCCGCGAATGATAAGCCTTCCGTATTTGAGTGCAAATCTATAGCATTTTACCGCAAAACAGAGACATGTTTTTATCAAACTCATTTATTTTATCTATCTAGTTGCTTTTACTCTTTTTTTTATATTATTCACTTATAATTTATCAATTTGTTAAATGTTATTTATTTATTTAATATTTAATTATATTTTCTTCTATTCTTTTATTATTCTTTTCAGATTTTTCCAGATTTTTTTTATATAAGTCTAAATAAATTCAGGCATTAAGGGGTTAAACATTGATGTTGATGGCTGCAGGCCCAGCTCATTAATTGTTTTGAAAAGTAACAAAAACGCTCTACCTTCATCATACCCTTGTTATTTTCATTTACAAAATGTTGTCTCTAAAAGAAGTCAATTGTGCTGTGATGCTTAAACCATTATTTAAAAAGTGTGTGATTTTGTTTCTATCTGTCTGCAGGTAGAAAATGCTGTGAGGCAAGGGAAGACAGGGCTTGCCTGCACTGATGTGCAGAATTGCTGGAATGCCGGGACAAAAAGCAATACTGGGCAGCAAAAAATCAGAGATGTGTCTTTCCGAAGACACAGCAGAAATAATCTATACCAACCAGCTTCACATACATCCTCCTCCAGCATAGTCCCTACACCTAGTCGCAAGGTAAAAGTCCATGAGACACTGGAAGAATGGCAAAATTACTGTCTCTCCACACCAATAGCGTCACTTTTTACTGCACCTGGCAGTGGACTAATGCAGCTCACTTTTAACACCGGCCTCCCTGCTCAGTCTGCCGAGACATCAAAAGCTCCACTGCCCCTACATCATGGTGATCACAACACACAACTTGAATGTGAGAAATGTAGGGCATTCTACACCACATACATTGACATGACCACAACCCAATTTATCTACATTGAGCAGCACACAAAAGAACAGAGCAGGGAACAACTGTGGCATGACATGCGACGGGTACGGATAACAGCAAGCACAGCTAAGAATGTGCCAGTTCGGGCTACCACAGCACCAGACAAATTCTTGTCTGAACACCTCCATCCTACCTTTCACGGTAACACGGCAACCCGGCAAGGAGCAGAGGGTGAAGAGCACGCCAGGCAATACCTGCAAGACCAAGGTCATGACATCGATGTGAAAGGTTTGGTGGTTTGCCCGAGTGAGCCATGGCTTGCTGCGAGTCCGGATGGTGTCATGAACAGAGACACACTACTGGAGATCAAGTGCCCTGTCTTAGTCAAAAACAAGTCCCTTACTGAAGCACTTGCTGCTAAAAGCAGTGAGATCAAACGCATGCCCACTGGGGACTTCCATCTGTCCTTCAATGGGCCAAAGGGATATTACATGCAGGTGCAACTGGGCATGCACTGCACAGGTCTACGGCAAGCCTTGTTGTTAATTTGGAGTAACACTGAATGTCTGCAGCTCAACGTGCCCTACGACCAAACCTTTGTTGAGGGACATATCTCAAGGCTACACTCCTTCTATTTCACCCACATGTTGCCAAAGGTTGTCGATGACTTCGATGATGGAAGGCTGGAGTTGTGCTCCAGATACATGAATGTTGTAAAATCAGCATGACCTGTGTTAAGGGTTTCGGAAAGCTCTCGAGGGAGGCCTCACTCCTTTGTTCTCGTCCCGGCCGGAAACGAGGATAAGAATGAGTCAATTCGTTTAAATTCAAAAATCAAAAAGTATTTAATGACTAAACAACGTAATAGGGATTACAATTACAAAGTAAAATACTAAGCGAACAGTGGAATATTTCGCGAAATAGAGAATCCTCTGAGCAAGTCTAAAGTGAGTTATCAAAGCGGCTGCAGGAAAAATTCTACCAGTCCTTTCCCCGCCTTGGTCCTTTGAAAACTCTTGAGGTGTGTCTTCTTGGGTGCATTTGAATGTCATTGGCCTCTTCTCCAAAGGGTCACCTCCTCCATTGTCCCTTTCACGTCGAGGTGTGAAGCTGCAGCTGTAACCTGAAACCTATCTGTCCCTCACATTCCAATGCACTCAATGTAGATTCAGTTGGCTTCATGCCCCAATGAGTGAATTTAACAAAGCATACATCGTTTAAGTCTTCATCTTATAACTAGTACACTTTAATTACAACAACCCATCATTAATGATCCCCGTTCATCACACTTCATCATAAGATTTAAGACAGTTCATGTGGTTCAATTCTCAAGACATTTGCCCCAGTTGGCTGCCTCGCATTGAGTTGTTCATTTATTACCTGACAGGAGAAAAAACTCCCAAAAAACCCCTTTGGGGATAAAATTGGGAGAAATCCATAAAGGACGGCAATTGGCATCCGTCCCCAGGTTTTAACATCACATTGTAACAGAATGTTAATGTGTAGAGTGTTTCTACGATTTAAAAGACTATAAACAGTGTTTGATTCAAATTGTATTCACTTCATCTAACATGTTAATGTAATAACTAATCTAACATCACACAAACTACAATTCTATCACTAAACATTATTACACGTACTACAAATTCTATGACTAGACATTCACTTCTACTTAAAACCCCAACACCTGCTTATGTGTACTGGGGTGATTAGTCATTCCTTTTTGAACCCCTTGTCCCCTGTTGTCACAAATTGGTGACAAATCCTTTCTAGCTTTTATTTATTTTTATCAAACTGATTTGTTTAATTAATTAATTTTCTTTTACTTTTATTTATTTTTATATCAGTCACTTATCATTTATCTTTATTTATTTAATATTTTATTTTATTCGTCTTTTTGTAATATTTTGAGACTTTGTTTTTATTTAATTACTTTAAAAAATGCAGCCATTAAGGAGTTAATGAAATTGTCCCTTTGTTATGGAATAGGATCAATAAAAATTAATTCATTTCTTCTCAAAAATCAAATTGTTTATTGTCATGTGTCAATATTTACAATACAAGAAAAAGAATAGCACTCACACAAGTTTTTCTTAGTTAAAACTCTGTTTTGGCTTACCAATAATCACAATACCAGAAAGAGAACAATAACAATAAATTTACACAGGTTTTTCTAGCTGAAATTTATTTATATATATATGGCAACACTTTATTTTAAGGATCAGAAATTAGACTAGATTAGCCCTTTATTGGCTGTTGTAGCTTATAAGTATGAAATAAATATAGAATGGGCATTTCAACAAACATTTAAATTTGCAAAGTATGTAATTGGCACAGTACAAGCTATTAGTTTGATTTATTTTTAGCTAATTAGTAGATTGTTAGGACAGAAACAAATATAAAGGGGCTATAAGACAAAAATAAGACAACAGCCAATAAAGGCCTTATAAATAGCTTGTAATGGCACACAAGTATAACTAGTTACTTACAAATGCAGTTATTAGTCATTAATTAGTGTCTAATTTCTGATCCTTAAAATAAAGTGTTACCATATATATATATATATATAAAAGGAATATGTACAATAAAAAAAAAAAACTGCAGGTAACCCAGGTTTTACTTTTCATAGGGACTTACACCTCATGTGGCAGTCGGATGAGTCTGGACCTCATGTTTGCTAAAGCAGCACATATGATAAGAATCTTGTCCAACCTCGGGGTCATGGAGATGGGGACAGTTTGGGACAGAATTTTGAAGACTTTAAGTCTTCGGATTGCCCTCTCCACATGTATACGGACATTGGCCACTCGTCTAGTGCGCGTTACCTGCTCATTGGTCAATTGACCACGCTTGTAGGTAAAGGCAGGAATATTTAATTTCACCTTCCTTTCATGTAGTACATCTCGAATCGTGAAACCCCTGTCAGCCATTACCTCATCACCAGGCCTTAGGGCCTCCAGAAACCCACTGTTTATAGTGATGAACTTATCACTGCTTTTACCAGCATAGGCCTCTGATATAAACATTATGAGCCCATGAGGTGACACAGCAACAAGATATTTGGCAGTATTGGTTCTCTTGTAATGACTGAAAGTGGCACTCCTACAGTTAAGGTTTGTAGCTCTCTGAATAGCCGTTTCAGCACAATCGATGATGCAAGTGGTCTGGGGGTGGTTCCTTTTAAAGGATGGTGGCATGTTAGCACAAATAACACTTCTTGGCAGCCAGGCAATCATGGGTTCAAGCTGCTCACCCAATGTATCAATCCAGTAAGCAATCACCTTACTTACTTCACCTTTAGACAGTTTAAAGCGCTTTGCCACATCCCCTAGCACAAGGTTCAGTTTCAGTTTCAGTTTCATGAGGGTCATCAGTATTTGGACAACAACAGGAATACTACATGATGGTTTACTAAATGGCAACATCGTTTTCACCAAAGTAAAAAAATATAATAGACGCAGTCCTGTGTACAGCAGCGAGGTATCATCATCCAGGAGCATATCATCAGCCACAGTCTGACCCTCAGTCTGCGTCGATTTGTTCACGTGGTCCAACTTTGCCGCGTAGCTGTGGTCAGTTTTTGTTAGGTCCTCCCATTGTGTTGCAGCATCTTTAAACTTCGGCTCGATGCACACTTCTAAAAGACAAACAGCATCAACTATGAATGTATATACCCTACTAACACAGGACAGAGACACATAACGTTATATCAACAGTCGAACTTATGCTGCAAACTTTAGCTAACCAGAAAAATATCAAGATACACTTACCATCCGATTGCGTGTCACTTGTGTTTCTGTCGAGTTTACGTCTCTTTTGCTGGGGAGGTCGCTTGTATCCCAACCAAAGTTCCGGGAAAGGGTTTTCCTCTGTGGGCTTTTTATCAACGAAGTGATAAGAACAAACAAACAGTCTTTTGGGCGGATTCTTCAACTTCAAAGCCGCTAGCCACTTCCGAGATTCAACATCTGTTTTTGGTTTCTCATACAATGCATACGGGGGAGCACATACACATTGGCGCCTTGTAGATGGTTGATGGTCGAAACATTCTCCTTCCGACCAAATACTCAGCAATCGCCACGAGTTGTTGCAACCGTGAACAGCACAAAATGTCCCGGAGCCGTGTCGGCGTGTAACACCAGCCATAGTTGACTTTTTCTGCACTCTAACCAAAGACCGTAAAAGACGCTAACTCGCTAACCGGAAGTGTTTTGCAGACACAACCGGAAGTCGTTGGCAGAGTGAAAGGCCAATGGCGGCCCGCTTATTTCACTCAGGAAACTTGTCTATATATGAAAAATGTTCTAAAATAGGTCATTCATTGAAGGTTGCGCCTTATAATCCGGTGCCCCTAATAGTGCAGAAAATACGTTACATGAGTATTCACAGCCTTTGCCGTGACACTCAAAATTTAGCTCAGGTGCATCCTGTTTCCACTGATCATCCTTAAGATGTTTCAACAACTTGATTGAAGTCCACCTGTGCTGAATTCAGTTGATTGGACATGATTGAGAAATGCACACACCTGTCTATATAAGGTATCACAGATGACAGTGCATATCAGATCATAAACCAAGCCATAAAGTCCAAGGAATTAGCTGTAGACCGGCGAGACAGAATTGTAACGAGGCACAGATTTGGCGAAGGGTGCAGAAAGATTTCTGCAGCATTGAAAGTCCCAATGAGCACAGTGGCCTCCATGATCTGGAAATAGAAGAAGTTTGGAACCACCAGGACTCTTCCTAGAGTTGGCTGCCCAGCCAGACTGAGCGATCGGGGGAGAAGGGCCTTAGTCAGGGAGGTGACCAGGAACCCGATGGTCACTCTGACAGAGCTCCAGCGTTGCTCTATGAAGAGAGGAGAACCTTCCCGAAGGACAACCATCTCTGCAGCACTTCACAAATCAGGCCTGTTTGGTAGAGTAGCCAGACGGAAGCCACTCCTCAGTAAAAAGCACATGACAGCCCGCCTGGAGTTTGCAAAAAAGCACCTGGAGGGACTCTCAGACCATGAGAAACAAAATTCTCTGGTCTGATGAAACAAAGATTGAACTCTTTGGCCTGAATGCCAAGCGTCATTTCTGGAGGAAACCAGGCACATGTGCTCATCACCTGGCCAATACCATTCCTACAGTCAAGCATGGTGGTGGCAGCATCATGCTGTGGGGATGTTTTTCATCGGCAGGAACTGGGAGACTAGTCAGGATTGAGGGAAAGATGAATGCAGCAATGTACAGAGACATCCCGGATGAAAACATGCTTCAAAGCGCTCTGGACCTCAGACTGGGGCGACGGTTCATCTTCCAACAAGACAACGACCCGAAGCACACAGCCAAGATAACAAAGGAGCGGCTTCGGCACAACTCTGTGAATGTCCTTGAGTGGCCCACCCAGAGCCCTGACTTGAACCCGATTGAACATCTCCGGAGAGATCTGAAAATCTGGCTGTGCACCGACGCTCCCCATCCAACCTGATGGAACTTGAGAGGTTCTGCAAAGAAGAATGGGAGAAACTGCGCAGAAATAGGTGTGCCACGCTTGTGGAATCATACCAAAGAAGACTTGAGGCTGTAATTGCTGCCAAAGGTGCTTCAACAAAGTATTGAGCAAAGGCTGTGAATACTTATGTACATGTTTATGTTTTCGTTCTTTATCTTTAACAGATTTTCAAAAATTTGCAAAAAACAGTTTTTCACTTTGTCATTATGGGTTGTTGTGTGTAGAATGTTGAGGAAAATAATGAATTTAATCCATTTTAGAATAAGGCTGTAACATAACAAAATGTGGAAAAAGTGAAGCGCTGTGAAT